TGAATTCAGGGCACCAGCTCTAGGAGAAGGCTTTCTGTCTCCGTTGGCTCTGGGGGAAGGTCCTTGTCTTCTTTCAACATCTGCTTTCCTTGGAGATCTCCATGTGTCTTGGCATCAGTCTTCCCCTGGGTCTAGGAGGTTCTCAGCGCAGGGACCCCGGGTCCAAAGGACACACTCTGTTCCAGGCTTTTCTTTCCTGATGTTAGGAAGTTCCCCTCTGTCTTCTCCCTTCTCTCTCCTTTTATCTCTTGTAAGATAAAAGGTGATGCAGGGAAACTCCCCTTACATTGTATCAGGGCTTTGACCTGAGTAAGGGTGTTGCATCCCACCCTAATCCAAATTAACATGACCTAATCTGGCCTCATTAACATAACGGATAGTTCACTCCCAGATGGGACCATAACCATAGGCATAGAGGCTAGGATTAACACAAAATGGAGGAGAACCACACAATATTGGGAATCGTGGCCTAGCCAAGTTGGGGGTCCCAATTCAATCCATGACAATAGTTGATGAAATTATATAAACTGTTAGCCTTTGCTATAATGACTCACATTATACTCGAATCCTAACACCTCTTTTCACTTTCTGTCTCCTTATATAATAATTTTATATGTAACAGAATCAAGAAACAAAAATTTTTAATTAAATGTACCAACCTATATGGAGCAAAGTATTTTTCCCAAACTATGAAAATAAAAAAATAAAAAATTTTAAGTGATTTTTCTGAGTTTTCAGGTTTTTGTTTCTTCAGGCTAATCTTTTTTAAATGATAAAATCTAAGGAAGTACAGTATACATAGGGCTGGATTCATGATTATCCATTATGAAAGTTTAGATTTAAAACTTCGAGGTTTTTCATTAACACATTGTATGGAACCAGACATTCCATTTTATTAAACTTAATCATACTACCTAATACCTTGAAATAATTGGATTGTTTAGCTCATATTAATAGGATAGTATATTTTATAAAAAATAAGTTATTTAATTGTGTGCCCTGTGTGTGTACTGGTCCCTGCGCTGAGAACCTCCTAGACCCAGGGGAAGATTGATGCCAAGACACATGGAGATCTCCAAGGAAAGCAGATGTTGAAAGAAGACAAGGACCTTCCCCCAGGGCCAACGGAGACAGAAAGCCTTTTCCTAGAGCTGGTGCCCTGAATTATTAGTGGGGAAGATACGCACTCCTATAATATTGATGAAAGCTACAGATGCTCCTGCATAAGTAGGTCGTAAGCACAAAACTGTGCATAAACTTCCTTAGGGTTCACAGTTGTTGACCTCTCCACCCCAAGTTTAGGAACTGCTGCCCTAGAAGTTCTCTTGCATTGATCTTATTCTAGTAAACTTACAAGGCTATTACAGGGAGTCCCCAACTTACCACAGGGTTCTGCTCCTACGACTCCGTCGTAAGTTGGTTCTGCCGTAAGACGAAAGGCTCAATTTTTGTCTGTTTGTTTTCATTATTGCCTGCTACGCAGCAGTGTTTTGGACAGTAAATCATAATGTTGAACATCTGTGAGTGAACATCTGAGAATGGTAACATTAGCACATGATGCACTCTAACACTGTAGGTAGTACCTATTCCTAACAATAAGATGTAAAAACAAACGAAAACAGATAGTTGTGCAGTTTGTCATAACTGGAATACGTCATAAGTTGGGGACTACCTGTACTTTGGAGTATCTCCCCAGCTCATGGTGATTCTTGCTTCTCTGAGACCTGTTCCCACTCCACAGCTCCACGGTGTGGGCTGCCAGAAGCCATGGCTGCATGAATCCACAAAAAGGGACAACTGACTCTTTAGAGATTTTGGGGATTGGGGCTAGAAAAGCAAGTTAGCCATTTAGAATGGATGAAACCATGACATATAAACCCAGGACCTTAGCGGCAGCCACATTCTACCATGTAACTGGTGGCCATTGAGTTCATTCCGACTGATAGCGACCCTACAGGACAGAGTAGAACTTCCCCATAAGATTTCTAAGGCTGTGATCTTTACGGAAGCAGACTGCCACATCTTCCTGCTGTGGAGGGGCTGGTGGGTTCAAACCACCAACCTTTTGGTTAGCAGCCGAGCGCTCAACCACTGCGCCACAAGGGCTCCTTTATTCTACCACATAGATCTGAGAAATACGAATTCTGATCGGCAGAAAGGGATGCAGAGGCAAGAGCTGGAGACAGGCCACAGGTGTTCTGCGTCTTGGTTTTCTTCTTCCTGAAGCCTAGCTACCCCGGATGAAGAAGACCCTGTGTCCCTGTGTTACAGACCGCCTCTCCAGCTAACCAGAGTTGATGTCTGTAACTTGTGCCCAGAGGGTCTGAAATAATTCAGATGAGATAGCCCTGTGTACTTGCACTTCTGTGTATTGTGTGTCCCCTGAAGGACAATACTGACCTTTTAAAAAGCCTCAAGATGGGAAATATGCTACCTATACGTTATTTTAGAGCAATTGACTGATTCTCCAGAAATTTTCAGGATTCTCCAAAAGTGCTTTCTGTTTAAATTACGTAATGTAAATAATAGATTAGCTGAGCCCCTGCGCCCTGCAAAAAGTGTTGAACTAAATGCCTTGCCCTGGCAGCAGGCATGAGTGTATTAGCATATACACTCTTAATGTTATTAGAAGACAGGAGGAAACAAGAAAAGTTTGTAATACACAGTCTATTTGGTGAATGTAGAACGAAAAATTCAGAGGAATATAATCAAAAGCTTTAATGCCTACCTGTGGTGGCTGAAGACTTGGTTCCATAAAGGGTTAATAGTATGGGGACCACAGAAGGTGGCCTGGAAGGACCACCTTGTGAGGGACCTTCCCAGATGAAAGCAGACTCTTGGGTGGAAGAATGCAGTGGTAACTGGAAACCTGCCTCATCAGAGACATTAATCCAAGTGGTTTTTTCCATTCACAATTGCAGTGCATACCTGTCTTGTTTTCCTTTAATAAAGGTAAAGAATTTGGACACGTATTGATGCGTGTTGTCATTAGTTGCCTTCAAGTCCATTCTGATTCACGGCGACCCATGAGTTACAGAATAGAATGTTCCATAGGGTTTTCTTGTCTGTAATCTTAACAGAAGCACATTGCTACCTGTTCTTCCAAGGTACCACTGGGTGGGTTTGAACTGCCAACCTTTTAGGTTAGTAGTTGTATGCATATATGAATATATGTATATGGCACACACTCCCTCAAGATCTTCCCAAGAAAGATTTCTACTGAACCTTTTTTAGAAGTCAGAATTGTTTTTAATCCATACAGCTCTGATATTCCATCACTTCTTATCTAATGTACTTTATTCCTTAGAAAGCATCATATTACAGATTCAGTGGAATGGGTGAGTTGATGGGGCTAACATAGAATGACGTTTATGTATCTTAAGCATAGTCACTCTGCTGGCCCAGATTTATTAATTATGTGTAGCTTTAATATGTGAACTGAAAATATTATGTCTGAAAACCTGTGATCCCTAACCAGTGGGCATTAATAGAAATTTGTTTCAGTATGGTGTTAACTCTCAATAGCAGCTAGAAGGAGGATAATCAAGGGAAATGTTTATAAATAGAATACACTGTAAGGTATTAGCATTTATTCATACTTAAGTAATAATAAAACGGAGTCCCCGAGTGGTGCAAATGGCTAACACGCCCAGCTGCTAACCAAAAGGTTGGTGGTTAGAGTCCAGCCAGAGATGCCTTGGAAGAAATGCCTGGCAATCTACTGTTGAAAAATCAGCCGCTGAAAACCAGTTTTATCCTGACAAACATGGGGTTGCCGTGAGTTGGAATCAACTCAACGATAACTTTCTTAAAAAAATAATAATAATTCTTTCTCACTGTTGAAAATTGGAGAAGTTTCGGAAAGTCTAAAAATAGAAAATAAAAGTGACCAAAATCCTAGAGACAATGACTGTGATGTGTTTTCTTTTCATCCTTTTTGTATGCCTGTCCCTGTGTGTGTTTTTACAAAGTTGAGGTCGCATTACAGATAGAGTATTATGGGCTATCGTCACCCCTTTGCCAAGTCACTAAATTTTTCAAAAACGAGATGTTTTACTAGCTGCATAATGTCCTATTATATGCTTGTGCCACAATTGTTGAACTATTCCCCTGTTATCGAGTGACTGTTCCTTCAGCAGATGGTAAGTACCATTGGATATGCTGGGAGATGAGGATTCAGTGACGACTGAAGACCAAGTCCTGTTCTCAAGAGTCTTCCATTCCAGTGGTAGAGAGTGAACCTTGAACATTAGCACACAGTGTGGTAAGGCTGTCTTAGGGGTACAGACATGCGGGGAGCTGGCAGCTTACGTGGCTGTGTAAACCGTGAGTGAGTACACCGTGAGTTGGTGAGGAGGACGTTGCTCAGTGAGAGC